TGTTTAATATTATTATGACGTGTATAACTGTAGCCATAGCCATAATATTTTCATATGTTTAATGTTAGGACATGTCACTAGAGGTCGTGTTAGAATGTTTTTAGTTACACACCACAAACAAACATTCACACATTGATTTTTCCTCATGTTTTGACTACTGCTCTGGCCAGCTGCAAAGCTGTCCCTGGGAAACGCCACGGCCTGGCATCTCCTGAGTAGAATGGGGTTAGCCCGAAGTGATATAATGTATAGGCCTGTTGTGGTTCGGGGTCTTTCATCTTTCAGCTGCCTGCGTGCATGTTGGAGGTGCAAGATACCTGAGCGTGTAATGTTAATTTTTACCTGTGTTCATTGAATAAATCAGCACTGTTTTGAAGTTACTTGGACTGCTTCGTCTCTCTGAGTTAGCATGGTAAAAAGAACCGATTGCAACAATGTGCTTGACCAAAAAGCTCTGTTTCAGTCTTATCTGTCCACAGGACATTCTCCCAGAAGAATTGTGACTTCTTCAGGTCAGTTTTGGCAAACTCCATTCTGGCGTTTTTATGTGTCTGTGTCAGCAGTGGGGTCCCCTGGGTCTCCTACCATAGTATCCCTTATTATTGAGATGGGGATGGACAGTGTGAGCTGACACTGTTGCACCCTGTGCCAGCAGGTCAGCTTGAATCTGTTTGGAAGTTTTTTTTGTGTTGTTCCAGTGCAAACAAAAGAAATAAACATGACAATATCAAAGAATTTGTGATTGCAGCAGTTTTCTAGGAGAAGTGGTGCCTTATCTGACGGCACTGCAGGGGTGCCAGTATTTTTGGCCATGACTGTAGGTGTAAGTCAGTATGTACATATTGTCATTACCCTTATGGTGTATTTTGTTTGAGAATAATTTATGTGGACGTCTGTCTGAATGCATTTTACATTTATACACAGACATTCGGCTGATGCCCCGAGTGCCTCTCAAGGACATGCAAATGTCCTCAAACATAACTTCAAAGCTGTAATTTAACTCCAAATTCCAGACCACATTTCAGTTCTATATCCTTTTCATTCTGGGATGGTTTGCATCTTTTTAGTCACGCTACATCTTAAAGAAGTAATATATTAAGAAAGTGTTTTCTGCTGTTGGATTTGAAACACTGGTTAGAGAAAGTACCCATTCATCCCACAAAAACGGTTGCAGGCCAGTGTGAGAAAATATATCTGCTGAGAGGTTTTCAGCTCAGAAAAAAATCAGTAATTGAATGAGTTTTGAAAGGTCAGTGTGGCAGATTGTGGTAAGACATTTGAACTCTTTTGGCTACATTATTGTTAGTACATTTAAAAAAAAAAA